ATTAAATAAAATTTGGGATTCTAAAATTAGTCCGATGCACTGACATTAGTTTGCTTTGTTTGCCCATAGTTACTTGATGACTCATTAAACCTAGCAGGAATTACTTGCTATTTTACAAACTCCATGATTCCTTGCCTCCGAAACACATTTTGGACAGGAAAGCTAGTACCAAGCTGGCAAGAGATATGCGGGGTAGTAGCTAACCATTTGCCCTGTGTAAGCAGATCACTTGGTCTTAAGCGATCCATGGTCGGTCTATTGTCAGCAAACCCCTAATACTGCAATTGAAACAGGAGGATTTAACAATCATTTAGGAAGGTAAAATTGATTTCATGGAGCATGTGCGAGGCTTGTACTTTCTGTTTTATTTTTATGCCAAAATCATACAAGCAACACAGCCCAGAAAAAGCATCTGGCAGTCTAAGCAAATAAGCAGGCAGAAATTAGAACTATTAGAAGCATAACCAAGCATTATTTTCATTATAGAGTAATCTTCTTGATTATTATATTCACTACTAAATGTCAGAAAGTAGTAAAAGTATCTCTTAAGGGAAGTACGGGTAGTCTAGTGATTAAAGTAAATTCTATATAACTGACACATCCCGGGAGCTTTATTTCATGTTCTTCCCATCTCACTGCCCTCATTTCCCATCTCCCTTCTATCACTGTTAAAAATAAAAATAAAATCTAAAACCCAAAGATATTCTGTTTATGGTCATAGAAGACAAAAAACCCAGCAAATATTCAGATTTGACAAGCAGGATTCAGTAAATTTCTGGCATTTTTGTTTAAAAAATTGTTGATTGATTAATTATTTTTTTGTTGATTCTGGTCTTTTGTGGACAAAAGTGGTAGTGTTCACACCACTTCTCTTCATTGATTTTAAGGAGAATTCGACCGAATCCAACCCGGTGGTCAAAAGTATAAAACTAGTAAATCTTCTCTCTGATGGTTTTGTGTGCTTATGTAGGTCATATCGAGGCATTTGTCATAAACTGAGACTGTTTCATAACCAGTTAAAATCTTATTGTAGTAGGTTTAAAGAACCTAGTTAATGGTGTACCATGAAAACAATTTGTATGGTGAAGTATGGTGAAAACACCTAATACGCATTCACTGTGGTTGAAGACATCCATACTTGAATCAATCTTTGCTGTAATTTAAATGTATAAGAATTCAAAGATCGCAGCTTTAATCAGTTTTATTTCTTTGTTATCTGAGCAGTCATGAAATCACATGCAGGTTATTGTGAGCAGGAAATTCCTTTTTCAACCTGATAAACTCATGTAAGCCTTTTTAAATTCACTGTTACTCGTTTCTCTGTCTTGAATGGCGTAACGTGTCTACACTCTATAGCTTGGAGCGACCATGCTGCATGTTGTTTTCTCATATGTCAGATTGTTCATATTGTCTTGGGGGTTCAATGTAGAGGCCAGCGTCTAGTTTTAACTCTATTTTTGTTTTGTTTTTCCTCCCTGGGCTAAATGAAGACAAAGGTTTGAAGACATATGATACTTGTGCACAAACTGCGTGTGATTATACTTTCATTTCTGGGTCCTTCACATTGTGAACAACAGCAGGCTGCAAAGGCAGGTAAAGAGAGGTACACCTAGACAGGGAGAGAGAGAGAGAGAGAGAGAGAGAGAGAGAGAGAGAGAGAGAGAGAGAGAGAGAGAGAGAGATGTTTTTGGAGAGTACCTTTTCACCCAAACACCTCCTCCTCCTCCCTGCTCCACAGACTCACCCTGTTCTTCCCTTTCACTCCCTCACTTCTTTTTTCCCCTTTATAGCTTCCTACTACACCTGAAAAAGGGGCATTTTTGGAGGCATAAAGAGAGGGATAGTTTTACACCTCCCCAGGCTGGGGGAACTGGGGGTTGTAGGAGGAGTGGTGGAGGGAGGGAGGGAGGGAGGGAGGAGGCTCAGCACAATGTATTTTACATGAAAGGAAGAGGATAGAGTTACCACACCGATAACCACTCATACAAATGGGGAGAGCAGAGAGCTTTGAGCAGGGGACAGGTAAATGTGTGAGACACTGTGTGTGTGTGTGTGTGTGTGTGTGTGTGTGTGTGTGTGTGTGTGTGTGTGTGTGTGTGTGTGTGTGTGTGTGTGTGTGTGTGTGGAGAGAGTGAGAGAGAATGTGAAGGATAGATAGAGATGGAGGCCGTGTTTGTGTGGTGAGTAACATCCTTCATGAGTGTGTTTTGTGGTCGACACACACCAGCCGATGTCAGAGACAGGGATGGCAGAATGATCACATTGCACACGTGTGTGTGTGTGTGTGTGTGTGTGTGTGTGTGTGTGTGTGTGTGTGTGTGTGTGTGTGTGTGTGTGTGTGTGTGTGTGTGTGTGTGTGTGTGTGGACATGTGTGTTTGTTAGCTATATAATAATACAATTAATGTTTTTCTGTTTCTGACTTTTTGTCAGTTTATTTATTTATTTACTTATTTGTTTGTTAATTTTTAATCTAATATTAAAGGAATATTTAAACATTTAAGGGAATAAACTTATTAACGTTCTTGCCGAGAGTCAGATAAGAAGATTGACACCACTCTCATGCCTATACAATAAACAGGAAGCTACAACCAGCAGTGGGTTAACCTAGCTTAGCACAAAACAGCCAGCCTGGTTATGGTAAAACCACAACTTGTTTTTTTACACTTGCAGATTAAACAAACAAGATATGTGTTAGAAAAAAAAATCCACTTAATAAATAAAATTATTCAAACAGAGATAATAAATGCATTAGCAAGTCCATACAGATAAAATAAACAAATATCTAAGGAGCTTATGAAAAGAATCTCCTCACAAAATGAATGAAAAGAACAAAAACAACACAAAAGAGATGAAGAGGAGAAGAGTCTGTCTCCGTCTGTCTTACTGTCTGCTGAGTGGAAGATGAACTGCTGTTGTTCCACTTGAAGAACAAAGTTGCTCTCGAGGGCCTCTTAAAAGGGAGCGAGGCACCTTCGCCAGACACTTTTTTTTCACACTCCTAAAGTCAACAAAAACCAAAGCCGAGTCCTGTCATTTAGCTGTCTAATATACAACCCGCTTCCTTCGCTCAGGTCACTGCTCTGATGTGCCCATGCCACACTACAGTTTTGTTTTTTTCTGTCTTTTACTCTCTTTTTTTTGGTATTTCATCAGGCGTGTTTTGGGACACCTCCCCTGTTCCCCTTCTCCACTTGCTGTGAAAATATTTCATCTGGGATGTTTTTGGACGACCCCCTCCTGATGGGGTCCTGCCTGGCTAATAATAAAGTGCTTGAGTTGTCAAGCGCTTCGGCAACACCCTAATCTGTTCTGACAGCTAGTCCTCCACATACACTCTCAAACGTCCAGCACACACACACAAGTGCGTGTTGGCATGCGTGTATAACACACTTCGCACTGATGTATGCACACAGTCTATCAATCAAGGTGTTTATTGGGGTTTGGGGGATAAATGCTATGGGACGGGGCCGCATGCTGTCACCATGGTGACCGAGCTAAAGGTGGCTGGTGCACAGTTGGAGACAGTGGCCCTGTTCCAAATTGGTCTCTAGGCCTGTATATTTGGCACCCTTTTCAGCTGTTTTCTGTTGCCTTATAGATGTACAGTAACTGTATGTTGATGAAGGGTTAGGTCACCCAAATGAATAAATCTCCCGATCCATGCAGATATTTCTGGTTTTTAGATTTGGCCATAAAGTATACACCCACAGCTTTGAAAAATGCATGATTATACCAATAAATAACCCTGTATTAATTCAGTTAAAATCAATTAACTCATTGGGATATTTAGTGTATTTAAAGATGCAATACTAACGTGAAAAGGAAATAGATATTGTTTTAAAACTTTGCTGATTTGATTATTTTTTCCATTACACATAATCCACATTCCACAGACATTCAACAGCACAATGACCCCTAAATTGAATACCAGAGTGGTGCTTGAAAACTGTATAATAAACAAAGATCAGTAGAATTTCTTCTTAAAATAACATTAGGAGAGGCATTGAACTGTCAGATCATCTCCTGGCTTTGAGTAAACACACAGTCGGCAGTTCTTAGGTAGGAAGTAGTTCCAGTGAAATTTGTTCACAGTGAGGTATGTTGAATATCCTGAGTAACTGGGAGACTTTTTGCTGTTGAAGTTTCAAAGCTATGAGCACCACAACACCAGTATTTTGGATAAAATAGATCTGAAATTAGTGTGTGTTTGAGTTTGTGTGATCATTTTCCTGTCTGTGTCCAACTTTTTTGTTGGGCATGTGCCTCCCTTGATAACACCTTGGCGACCACAGTCAAAGAGTGCCATCTTCAGACCGAGGCAGCCGGGAGTCCACCTAGTTGATACCAAACCCCGCGCCGACCCCTCCGCCTCCACTACACTTCACATATGACACACACGTGCAGCCGGTGTGGTTTCAATTAACACAGATTGAGAGTGTGTGTGTGTGTGTGTGTGTGTGTGTGTGTGTGTGTGTGTGTGCTCAGGTGGACATGTGAGTCTCTGTGAGTTGTGGGTGAGATGGGGTGGGGGGGGTCATTTGCATGGTGTGAAGTTTATGGTCTGGCCTTTACTTTCTACTGCACAGCAAGACATTGACGTTGCATCCAAGCCAAGTCTTCATTTACCATCTTAGCCCTGTGAAGTAATCACACCAGAGCTACCATCAGTAGGATTTACTCCAGCATAGGAGCCATGCACAGGGATGTTTTTCATTTCACGGACTCAGACTTTTTAGAATTTTTTTTAGAGATTATTTATTATGTTTTCATGTTGAATTGAGTTCATTTGTGCCTATATTTAAAAAGATTTGACATACATTGTTACATTTTACATTTATTAAAGTTCTTCTTTAGCTTTAAATGTAAGCTTGAGTGAGTCTATAGTGAGTGACAGCCGAGAGAGAGAGAGAGAGAGAGAGAGAAGAGGAGGAGGAGGAGGAGGAGGGAGAAGAGAAAAAGAGGGGGAGGAGGCAGAGGAGGAGGGAAACAGGACGAATGAAATGTTCCCCATTACTAGAGTCGGAGAAGACAGGAGCTGTGCATGGATTGACCTCAGAGAGAGAGAGACAGAGAGAAAAGTGTGTGTGTGTGTGTGTGTGTTTGTGTGTACAGTTTGCGTCTTTTCTTCAGCTGCTACATGTTTGCCCAGAGTGAAAGAGAGAGAGACACGAAGAGAAAGAGAAAGAGAATGCATTTTCTCCTGTAGAGCAAAAACAAGAAAGACACCTGGAGTACAAAGTGAGAGGCAGGTAGATAGAGACGAAGCTGAAGCTGTGTGTTGGAGGTGTGTGTGTGTGTGTGTGTGTTTGTTTCTGTTTGTGTGTGAGACCAGCAAGCCTGTGTGTGAAGGGAAACTAGTGGATCGTAAAGCTCTGTAATGCTTTGGGGAAGTACAGGACTGCTAACTGACCTGATTACACCCTGAGGTAAGAATGCATCTCTAACTGTGTCTGTGAGAGTGTGTGTGGATCTAATGCGATAGTGTTTTTATTTGTATCAATCAATTGTAGTTTTTCCTGTAATAATATTGTATTTAAAATGTCTTTTGCTGGTCACACTTCTGACTGAATAAATGCTGCTGCATGTAAAGGAAAGATGAAAATTGCAGTTTAATATGTCATATAACATTAATTTGGCTATATGAGTCCAACATTCAGAGTCAAAAAAGGTTAGTAGGTTATGGTGGCAGCACTGTAATTGTTTCAGGGTACAATAAAAATGTATGTAAGTCAAATTAATTTACACAATGAATGTAGGCCTACTTAAAGTATAATTCAAAAATAAAAATACTTTATGTAAAATGAATGGAAGGAACTTCTTTTTAATGCTTGTATTTTATGTAAATAGACAGAGGTTTTTATTTCTTTTTTCTGAATTGTCATTATTAAATATGCTAAATATTCAACATTTGAGGTATGTAGGATTATAGCTCTGTTCTTGAATTTATCTGACAAATACCTCCATCATAAAAATGAACAATTTATAGCAATACATAACCATTTCAAATTATGGCAATGAACGGTAGAATTGCTGCATTTATGGCAAAGAGATTATTTGAAAAAGTTTTGTTTTTGAAATTTGGTTACAAATGAAAATGTTCCTTAAACACAAGCGGAAAAAAAACAGATTTGTTTCTTTAGTATACCATTCATATACCATTTGTGTGTGCGTGTGTGTGTGTGTGTGTGTGTGTGTGTGTGCCACTCTAGGCATGATATCAGATGTCCTATTGCAGATGGGTTGGGTTATTACCAGAAACACATAGCGCTGTTCTTCTTCGTCCCTTTCTACCCTTGTTTCTCTTCCTGTGCAGTGTTTTCACAGTTTGCCAGAAACACAAACACAAACCTTGCTGATGCACCTTTTATGTTGCATTTTAGATACTTGAGTGAGCTTGTTAAAATAAAAATACAGCGGGGAGGAAAAAAAAGAACAAAACACGTAAACACATCGAGGACCAGGACTACGACTGCTCCTGCTTATTTCTGACGTGCACCTACTATTGCTTACTACTCTACTGCTTATGACGCTATCTTAGGATCAAACCAGGCCTTGTGTTATCATTACAACCATTAGGTGATTAATATTATTAATAAGTGACAACACAAACATAGCAGTGTGTAATTCCCTTAAATAAATCATTGTTATTAGTGCTAATTACCTGGGGTACCTGTATTTATCCCTCAGGGAGTCCCTGGACCAGGCAGGTTGTGTTCCAGACCGGTCACCCGGCCAACTAGGTCAAAGGTCGCCTATTTAAGTGGCTCAGATGACACAAATGGGTCCTTCTGGCATTGTGGCCACCTAAGAGTACGCTTAGAGGCCCTTCGTTTTGTTATTAGAGATGAAATTGGGTCTTTTACTGCAAGATACGGAAAGAGGAAGAATGATGCTGAATATCTGACTGAGGGACTTTGTGACCTCTCTGGGTTTTTTGTAGCTTCATTGCTGCATGACAAATTTTCCTCAATAGTAGAAGTCATTTTAATGGGTCTCGATTTGGATTGCATTCTGTGTAGTGGATATGATCAGCGTCTATTAATAAAATTTAACGGAAGTGAAAAAAGCACTGAGCAGAAAAAAAGCATGTTTAAAGACATAAATAAATGTATGGAATTATGTTAAACATGGAACAAGTATGTCCGATTCAGAAAAGATAAAAGTGGTGAAATATTGAGAGATGTGAGAGACTCAGAGAGGTCAGCACTCAGAGAAAGTGTGCAATGATAAAAGCTTTTCAGGATCAAAGCCTGCGTGTGCTTGTGTTTTTACAGATCATGTTGAGACAGAAACAGCCAGGGTTGGTTGTGTGTGTGTGTGTGTGTGTGTGTGTGTGTGTGTCCATGCGCGTGTGCGTATGCATGTGTATACGCACATGCGGGCCGTGTGTACATTTGTATGTAGCCCTGCATGTGCGTTACATGTGGATTGCAGTTTCTCACGGCCATGCTGTTGATGTCGTGACTGACAGCCTTGTTAAATTTCAGTAAAGCATGAAACGTGACATGAAAGTGGCTCGTGTGTGTCTATGTGAGTGAGTGCGCGTGTGTGCGCATGTGTGAGTGTGTGTGTGTGTGAGTGAGTGAGTGTGTGTGTAAAGTGATCCATATGAGGGCACCGGCTAACCTTTGAACCCTGTCTTAAACAGCTAAGTGCTGCTTCTTATTCGCTCTCAGCAGGATCCGTTAATCAGAACCATAATACCACAACGCACATAGAAATACATACACACACACAGAAATGTCCCAGTTTCCAAAATACCTGGAGTTTAATGTCTGCTTGGCCAAGCACTTTCTCTGTATACTTACCTGTGATTGCGATAATGTGCAAATGACTTGAATATATGCTGCCTAGGTGAATTTGTGCATCTGTGTGTGTGCATTTCCACGTGCGGGTGTGTGTGTTTGGCACCTCGCGCGTGCCCTACACCTCGACAGTGTGTTGACACAGTGATTATAGGGCAGCTGGTACACATTGGCCCTCGCTCCGCCCTGCATTTACTGTTCTAATTAGTTCCTGTTCCAAATAAGAGAGAGGAATTTTAATAGAGAACCGCTGGTCTGCCGTCCAGCTCCGCATACCCTCACACACAGCAACACACATAAAACCAGCCTGTGTGTGCTGCGGTGGAAAGGCGCTGAGGCTGTGTGTTTTTTTAATTCTTTTTTTTATTTATTTATTTTTCAATGATGAAGGAAAAGTTCCAGCGCACCAGTGATTGACATGGCCAAATGTTCCCCAAAACTCAAGATTCGATTTAGGGTCCACAGTGACCCGTTTCAAGGGTGAAGAGTGAGTCCTGTGACCTAACATGACCCCGTCATGACCTTTCAACTCTTTAAGGGTTCAGAAGGGGGCTTGAGCTCCGGATGGAGCAGGGTCACAGGTGAACAAGGGAAAGTTAATATCTGTCACTTAGACGCCAGTTAGCACTTCTGTCACGGCGGTGGCTACAACTACCGACACCGGCTCTTGATTTATTAGGATTTCTGCATTTTAAGAACCAGAACATTTAAAGTAAAATGACTCTTGTTGCAGTTGTTATATTTAAATCAGATTTTTCCTTCCTTATTTAGAACTGAGGCTGGGAATTTATTTTGTCAACAGTTCGTGATACTAATATAATTTGTCTGATTCATAAACACTGGTTTATGAGGCTGGTTTATGACACACTAAACACCGGTTCTTATGAAGTGTATGTGTGTAATGTAATGTGTGTTTAGTTAACATTTCCTCTGCTCTGGTTTCTCTGCAGGTGAAGAAATCACACAGTGAATCTCATGTTCCAGACCCTTCAGACGCCAGGTACATGCATATGTGTCTGTTTGTATAATATGACAAACAACATTAAGTTTTGTAGACCTCTGTATGTGTGTGTATGTGTGTTGGTGTACATCCATGTGTGTGGGTGTCCTAGTTCTCTGGTCATGGTGCAGAGAGGTGAGGTTTCACTGCAGTTGCGAGCTGTGATGAGGTCATCAACACTTTCCCAAGACCTCAATGCCACACACACACACACACACACACACACACACACACACACACACACACACACACACACACACACACACACACTCACACTGATCCAAGTGAGGGACAGGCAAAGGGTGCATGCTGTACACACAGTAATTTATTTAGAGCTAAAACTGCTAAAATTTTCAATAATAGAGTGATTAGTTCTGACATTTTCAACAAAAAATTGAGCAAAAATGCCAAATATTCTCTGGTTCCAGCTTTTCAAATGAAAGGATTTGCTGATTGTATCTGTCATATATTATTGTAAATTGAATAACTTTGGTTAGAGAATACAAGACATTTAAAGACATCACCTTGGGCTCTGGGAAGTTTTTTGACTTTTCACCCACCAAAAGATAATACAATAATTGAAAAAATAAAAGGGGAGAAATCAACAGGGAAAATAAATTTTTTAAAAAGCTATTCATTTGGCAAAACACACCGTACACTGTACATTGCAGTGAGATTCGGCATATTTTTTCAATGACCAGATATAATGTGAAAACCAGAAAGGAGTTTATGAAACACCAACTCCTGCCATCGCCTCCCGAAAGGAGTGAAACAGAGAGGAAAGAGAAAAAGGAGGGGAGAATCATTTCCTGCTGTTGAGAGACAAAAGAAGAGGATAGATGAAGAGTGTTGAAGCACACAAGAGGGAGAGAAAAATAGAGTGAAAAAAGTGGAAAAGCACCATAATCTGTGAAAGTTCTTAGCTGTTATTGCCTCGTATAGCCGAGATATTTTAGGCTTTTGTTTGAAGTTAGGTCTTGGCTCAATATCGCGTCCACCATTAAGCGTTGTTGATGTTAAAACAGTGATCAGTGTTTTCAGTTCAAGATGTACAGGAGAGAGAAATGAATGTTTAGCTGTAAATAGAAAAAAGAGTTGACAGTGAGAGTCGATTTAGTGTGTTTATCTTTCATACGTTCCCTCTTTTGCGCCCTTAAGCTGGGTCTTTCTCGTCCGATGAAAGCTATATGTTTATACCTGTCAGTCTGGCTGCAGTCATGTGTGGCGATGCTATCTGCCCATAGCATTGGCATGGCCTACTTCCAGACCGCGACACAGATGTATCACACACACACACACACACACACACACACACACACACACACACACACACACGTGTACACACAGAGTAGGACGGCAGCCCGCATTTGTTTAATTCTCCCTCCATCTCTGTCATTTCTCGCTTTGATGTCTCACAAAAGCACCGTGACCGGGCGGTGTGAGTCAGGGCACACACACACACACAAACACACAGATGTTCATATGAGGTACTGTCCACACACACACTGACTCAACATTAAACTATGTCTTCCATGTCAGAATGTGGGTTTGTGGCAACAGTGGTGAAGAGGCATGAGCAAGTGTTTAATGTTGCTTTTCTTACCGTGTGCATGCATGAAAATTGATTAAAAACACTTTCCACCTCTCACTGTGGGTTATGGACCCTAGGGAGGGTAGTTGTTGCCACGGTAACAACTAATACTGATCCAAATATACATAAAACATTGATACTGTATATGAAAGGCAGACTTCTGCTCCACTCTAAATATGCATCTTCATTTATGTTCATGTCTCTATTTACTTCCACTTCCAACCCACACACACACACACACACACACACACACACACACACACACACACACACACACACACACTTACTTTACCATTACCACCTTGTGTGCTGGTTCGTCCCAGTCATGCATGTGGAACACATTGTAAAACTAAAGCATGCTGGCAGGCTGTGGGTTTGTATTGGAGCCCAGAAGTGTGCGCGCACGCACACACACACACACACACACACACACACACACACAAACACACTCTATAAAAGAGCCAGCAGACCCGCAGACAATGTCTAACGCCTCTGAACACATGCTCATGTAGGCTAACTGGTACGAAGAAGCATAAAGTTTATGACACTGTGTGTGTGTGTGTGTGTGTGTGTGTGTGTGTGTGTGTGTGTGTGTGTGTGGTTCCTGTGTGGATATGCAGTCTGTCATTGAACGTGTTCAGTGAGATCTTAACATAATATATAGCGGTGGGAGATTCCCAGCTGTGAGAGCATATTGCTGTTGATCTGTTATTCATTCAGAAATCGCAGTTCATCTCATTTTCTCCCCCTCCTCCCCCTCCTCCCCCTCTCGCCCCCCTCCCTCCCTCCTGTAGGTCTATGGAAATGCAGGACCTAGCCAGTCCTCATAACCGTGTGGGAGGTGGAGATTCGACAGGCTCCAAGCTGGACAAGAACAACCTTGGCAGCCCCTCCATCACCACCAATGGAACAGGAGGTGAGAAGGCAGAACCTGTTTGGTGCTGCAGTAATGAATGGGCAGTTGTGTCTGTTCTAGAAAAGTTAGTTTAAGTGTTCAAAATATAGTTTTTAACCTTCATCGTTTATCTTTTTTTTTTTGTTGTTGGCCAATTCTGTTTTCAATTTGTAATCAGTAATCAGTGAGAATCATAAACAAAACAAAATGTTCTGTCGACCACTTAATAAAAATTCCACTTGAAAGCAATAGTTCGACTTATTCACTTTTTTGCCAATAGTTTCCACCTGTTTCTAGTCTTAATGCTAAGCTAAGCTAACTGGCTCTTGGCTGTAGCTTCATGTTTATGTTAGAGACATGAGAGTGGTGTCGATCCTCTCGTCTAACTCTCAGCAAGAAAGCAAATAAGCATATATCCCAAAAGGCTGAATTATTATGAGTGCTACAGTGATCAACCACCCATAAAAGAGTGAGTGATTTCTTTGAAGTCAGGACATCAGAGTCACAGTGAAAGCCCACCGTTTCAGACGACATCTCAACACATCAGACTAGCACTTACTGATGTCTAATGTCTTAACCTAAATAAGAAACCACATAAAGTCTAAGCACCTCTACCAAACATACTGTTTGTTGTTTGTTGGGGAGGGATGCACAGGTTTTTATAGCATCCAGCTATTGCTCCAGCTGAATGCACATATTGTAAATCGCTTTGTGCAAAAGCAGCTGATGAGTGCAATGTAATGAAATCTATTGCAAAATCATCAGTCAGAAAGATTTTCAACATGCAGAGATAAGTACTTTTTGAGGAATTTATAGAGACGGAAGGAGACGCGCACACGCAAAGCGCACGCATACACACACCCCACGCTGGCACGAGGACTTGAGTAAACCACTGGAGAATGTGTGTAAACACACGGTGAAGCACTTCTACTCTCCTCTGCTAACCGCCTGGCAAAGTCTGTGTATGTGTGTGTGTTGGAGTATATGTGTGAGTGCAAGCCCAAAATCCCACTGGAAACTATTTCCTCTACAAGAGCATTAAAGCATCACCGATCTCTTAGATGTCAACACCAGTGAGCCCTCTCGTCGCTCTCTTTTTCTTTTCCTCTGTCCGTCTGTGTTTCTCTTTTCTTCTCATCTCTTTCTTCTTTCGCCCTCAATCTCCCCCTCTCTCATTGTCTGTCCTCTGCAATAATTTTTGACAGAGCAGTTTGATGTAATAGCACTGGATGTAAGTGCCTTTGTTGAGGGCGATCCTTTGATCTATTGCTGATTTAATGGGCACTGGAAACCACTTTTAATAGTAATGTAATGGAAAAAGTGAGGTACGGCATTTCAGTCAACTCGATATGTCAACACACACACACACACACACACACACACACACACAGAAATAGCTGTCCTCAGAGTGGACTTAACTGCGAATTCAGACCATATTGGAGTGCATTAAATCATTTTTGATGAGCTCACAGTTAATGGTTTAAGCAGACAGAGCCTGGACTACACACTCACAGCCAAAACAAACTACATACCCAACATTCCCCTTACCTGACATCAGCCAGAGCCCTGGCCCGCGGGCCATCTCCATAGCAACTCATTTGTCTTCATTAGGGCTCGTCCGAGGGGTTGTATTGCTCCCCAAGGGGATTAATGAAGTTGTCCCGAATTAAATGGAGTTCTCAGATGGTCGCTGATGATGAGTTTTAATCATGTTCGGACAGAAAAATGAAAACTAACTGAAAAACATCATGTAGGATGTTAGCAGGTGTGCTTCTCTTTTAGGAATTTGCTGCGTTGAGAGTTAGATAAAACTCATATCTAAAACAGCTAAATATGATCAATATTTTATATATTTACAATGGATCACATGAGTACTCGTATGTGAAAGGCGTCGCTCGTGGTAATTGTCATCCAACTCTGCAGTTCTCCTCAGCTGTACGGAGCTTCTTTCAACTTATTGTTTTGGTTTTACGGCACACAACTTTCCTGTTTTGCTTTTCACTCTTCAGCATAGTTTCCGGCCTCGGCATGCAGCTGTTTTCAGTAGAAAAACATTTAAAAACACTACCTGCCCAGTCCCAAACAGCAGACACATAAAGTTGCCAATTAGTTGGTGAACATAGTGGAGCATTTAGCTGCTAAAAAGCCAGATATTTCCCTACTCCAGGATTTGAGGTAGAGCAAAACAAAGCTAAGAGGAGAGTGAATATTGGACTATAATTTATCAGGTGGCCAGAAATAATCCTCCAAATGAATGCTAATGTTTTTTTAACCTGCTGGGGGCTAAATAGGTAATTTCAACGTTTATTAGGTAATAATATGTCAATGCTGTGTTTTCCTCTGCCCCCAAGTGGCCAAAAATCAGTAATTGCAGCATTAATTATGTAGCTACAGACAAGAGACAGCTTAACTTAGCATAAGGGCTGGAAACAGCAACAGCTTGCCTGGCTCTGTCTGAATGTATCAGAATCTACCAGCACCTCTAAAGCTTGCTAAGTAACTACATCCCATGGGTTTAATCTGTACAAAAGTGAAAAAAACAACTATTTCTTGGCCATAGTGGCTTCCTGTATTTTTCGCTCCGTTGCCTGGCAACCTCATGGTGATGATGTGTGATGAGCCCTAGAGGTGCTGGTAGGCACATGTTTTATCTTTGGATAGTGCCATGCAGGCTAGCTGTTTCCCACCTCCCTCCGGTTTAATGCTAAGCTAAGCTAAACATCTCCTGGCTGTAGTCTCATGTTTACCGTACAGACATGCGAGTGGTATTGACCTTCTCATATCACTCTCGGCAATACAGTACAAATGTCTACTTTTTAAGATGATCAACACCATGTCCCACATACCTGAGACTGGCGTCTGGTTGTCAGTGTGTCGTATCCTCATCACCTTCCCACCTTGCACCCCTTTAGGTGAAAACATGACAGTTCTAAACACGGCTGATTGGCTGTTGGGCTGCAGCAGCCCGCCCCCTCCCCCGGGCTCCAAGGACTATGGTACAGAGGTGCATGTGTGTGAATCCAAGGCCAGATTTCATACAGTATTACCTTAAATGCAAAAGGAATGGGTTTCTATAGTTTGGGCTGGTCCTAGATCTGATGTTTTCTTGTGCCAGTATTGATTTTCATTTGCTTTGCAGTGTTGTCTGCTCTTTGGATCCCATTGTGAATTTATCACAGCGTGTGTGGAGTTGTTACATATTTGCAGGGTTCCCACCAGTCAACAAATTTATGAAAAGCTGGTGAATTTGATTAATTTGCCGGGAAGGAAAGGCCAATATCAGAAAATTTTCAAAACTTAATCAACGAGGAATGAAACCTTTAGGTCAAGGTGGTGTTTTGTCTTGGTTATAGAAAGTCATTTCAAAGCTTATAGTGGGAACCCTGCACACAGCATTTGCTCCCATACTCGAACTGCATGGTAGTTTCCAGCTCTTTTCTCAGTAAGGTTTTCTTTGTGTGTGAGTGTGTGATGGTACTTCCTTACTGGCCTCCCCTAACACCACTCTTTTCCATCTTCCTTAAGTGAAAACAGAGCCTATGAACAACAGCGATACAGTCACTACGACAGGCGACACAGTATTGGACACATACGCAGGCTCAGGTAACAAACACATCTGCCTACAGAAATGCACTCATGTACAGTTTTCACATCTAGAAACAAAAACAAATCCACATGTCTCTGTACTAGTCAGCTCTGTACCACACACAAACACCATCATCCATTTCAGCTCAGCGGTAGGCCTGCTGAAAGCTTTAATCCCATGAAGTATTGCCTGTCCTTGGATTGCGTCATCAAAGGCTGGCAGACGGGTGAGAGAGGGAGAGACATTTTTACACTTGTCTTTTTTTTTTTTTTTAGACTCACACACGACCCTGCGCCCCTTCACGCTGCAGAACGCACACTGATACACAAAACCATTAAGCAACACACAGTGAGGGTTTAGAAGCAGCGGGGTGTTTGTCAGTATTGAGCTCTGACATCTCAATGACCACAAACAGACATTGTGTTTTACTATGAGGCCCACTGTAAGGGTTTCACAGCATACAGCGCTCTCTAAAGGGGGAGAACTTGGCTCCTCTCCATTCAAAATGCTTCAAATTATGTTTACTGGAACAGCATTTCAACTCAAACAAGCCGGAGGCCTTGAATTGTGCTGTTCAGGAGTGATTTTGTTAAATGTGAAAGGAAAGAGAAGATTTGAGTTGACACCATTCATAACCCAGAAATGCCTTGTTGTTTTTGATTATTGTGCTGTTTTTAGTAATCACCAGCAGCGGGTACAGCCCTCGTTCAGCCCACCAGTACTCCCCTCCCCTCTACCCATCAAAGTAAGTCTTTTTACAGAGTGTTCTAACAATGCAACACAGCTAATTGTACAAAACATTACCCATCCACCTGCCAATTCAGTCCTCCAATCATTATCATCCTCATTGTCTTACCTACTAACACCTCTCTGTCCTCTCCTCATAGGCCCTACCCTCACATTCTCTCCACACCGGCAGCCCCTCCCATGCCGACGTACGCCGGTCAGCCCCAGTTCAGCAGTATGCAGCAGTCCACCGTCTACACTGCTTACTCCCAGACAGGACAGCCGTACGGACTGTCAACCTATGGTAATAAACACACGCTTACGTACAGTGACATACGGTAGCTGCACTAACAAACACATAGCTCATTTTGTAATCCACTGAAAAAAGTGTCCAACTGAAGCAGAAGAACTGATATGAAACAGCAAGTGTTGTTTCACAGAATAAGAGAGAGAGAACATTGTTCCAAGTTTTCTGTGCAATTATAAAAGGACAAAATCACAGAACTAAAACTAAGTTGTTATTGAAAAAAGAAATGCAACTGGATTACTTTTCCTTTTTTTTTTATTGGCTGTTGTGTTTGACATAACTAGCCAGCAAAAACTTGTACTCAGAAAGCAAAAAAGATGTCATTTAAACTAAAGCTTCTTCAGTCTAAACTCACTGAGGAAAAGTAAAAACTTTGACTGACTGACATCGAAAGCAAATCTAGAACTTGTGATGGCCTAAATTATGAAGTTTCAAGAAAACAAATTCTGTTAATGTTCTTGTTTTTAGCAGTAAACGTATAATATTCTGTGTTTTATATTACTGTCACAGACCTTGGTGTGATGCTGCCGGGCATTAAGACAGAGAGTGGCCTGGCTCAGAGTCAGTCTCCTCTGCAGACAGGCCTCAGCTACAGCCCCAGCTTCACCACGCCTCAGCCCGGACAAACTGCATACTCACCCTATCAGATGCCAGGTCAGTTGGAAACAAAAATATCCTCAGTATTTTATATTCTTGCTGAAAATGATGACAGAAAAAAATTTGTTTTTCTGTGTGTTTAATTCCTCTTCTTCTTTGTGTCCCAAGGTTCCAGTTTCACTCCTTCCTCAGGCCTCTATGCCACCAACAACTCAGTGTCCAACCCCGCCAACTACACTGCCACACAGCAGGTACCTCAGTGTCTTTATGCTCTGTGTGTGAGTGTGTGCTTGTCCTTCAGTTAAACCTGGACTGCTGGTACAGTCCAGCTGAAAGTTAGCTCAAGTAACAAACATTTTCCCAGGCCAATAAGAAAGCCCATTTCCGAGGGGAGTTCTTAGTTCTTGCCAGAGCAAATCAAACATGCTACATGTTTGCTCTGAGTGGCCAAGTACATGTCATAGGCCTCATTATGCCAACTCAAACTAAAGATTTTGTACGGCCCAGTTGTAATAGCATTTGAGACCAGAAGTGGTTTTACAGTCACACTCCCACACAACTTTCCTCATTCAGAGCCACTTCAAGAAATAAAATCTAATTATACTATGACCTTGCAGCAGGGACAAACTTAGGAGAGAAACAATTAGTCTTTGTGAAAGAGTGTTTTGTTTTGAATATTTCTCTATGTCCATATGATTAATTGTACTGTGGTAGTAAAATGCTTAAAGGGGGATTTAAATGTCCCACTATGATAGATGTCGCTGTTTACAGGAAGAAAGTCAAGGTTTGGCTTGTGTGGGTGGATTAAGGAGAATATGGTGCGTGTGTGTGTGTGTGTGTGTGTGTGTGTGTGTGTGTGTGTGTGTGTGTGTGTGTGTGTATGACTTTAACAGGAATAGAGAAAGCAAGCAATGACAGAAAGGGAGAGAGAGAGAGGCTGACTGAAAGCGAGTCTGTGTGTATACAGTATGTGTGAATATGCATGCTTGCATACACACACTGCTGACTACACACCAACTGTGTGTGTGTGTGTGTGTGTGTGTGTGTGTATGTGTGCATTCATGTGGTGGTGCTCCACTTTATAAGGACTTGTAGAGATGGACTTAGTGACAGGTTTAGAGAGCTGACTCATAAAAGCACCCATCTCCACTGGGTCAGTAAAAAGCAGCAACACAAGGCTTGAATTGTTTTGGAGATATAAAATACAGAATTGAGGGAATAAAAGATTAGAGAAATGAGAGGGAACACTTGTAAAATCTCTTTTCAAAAGTCACTTTGAACCTTTCCAGAAAAGTGAAACATCTCAATTTTCCTGTTTTTTTGTTTTTTTCTTGTTTGTACTTTTTTTAGTCTCTGCTCTTTGCATGGTGTCTCACTCTGTGCTCATGATTCATTCTCTGCAGGAATATCCCTCATATACAACGTTTGGCCAAAACCAGTATGCCCAGTATTATTCCGCCTCCACTTACGGGACTTATATGACCTCCAACAGCGTGGATGGCACAGGATCCACGGCAGCCTACCAGCTGCAAGATCCCGCCCCTGCCATGACCGGACAGGCTGCTGAACTTCACCCAGGTTTGTACTAAAAAGGAAACACGCCAGTCAGAACGAAACAAACCACCAACACCACACCACAGTTGTAACATCATAAATATGCAAACAAATGTCAGATTCTTCACTGTTCCTTGATACTGGCTCCATCATCTTGTTTCCAGTAGGAAAATACCACAGTTTGGGTGACTGAGTTCAAAACTCTCTTTCAGCCATGATGAAGAACAGGAAGTAACTTCAGACTGTAGCCATAGTGACCTGGCATCGCGCTCGCTAATTGGAGAGTCGGCATTTGTTTACATTAGCCTCAGAGACTTTGATCGACTTTGAAGTTGTGTTAAAAATTGCACTTTTGTGGACAAGTTAGAGAAAGAGGAGAAAAGGTAAAATAAGAGAGAGAGCTCCACTGCACCCGTATGTACAGAAATACGCCTTTTTTTTCACATTTTCTTTGGTGTATCTTGGCTGTAATTCAGGAAGCCTGATTAAAGGAGCTTATCATTCTTCCTGTCACTGGCACTTTCCCTCTCACTGCTTTTCTCACTATTTCTCCTCTTGGAGTTGCAGTTGGTATCTGTTTTTTTCTTGTCGCTCACATACTCTTTGTGTCTTTTTGTGTCTTTATCCACCCCCTTCTCTCCCTCTCTCGCTCTCTCCCTGATTGAGACATAACAATACGAGAGCCGAAGCTTAGAGTCTGGTTTTAGTTACCACACAGCAGTGGGAGCATATGGCATTAGGAGGGTGTGTGCGTGCGCAAGAATGTGTGTCTTGCTCTCGTGTACGCTCCTGCAGAATTTTGTATCTTTTGCAAGAAGCATCAGATTACCTAACTTTTCAAATTTATTGCACAGTTCCATCTTTCCCCTTCTCTGTTAAATCTTTACATTGCATGTTATCATCAATCAGTCAGAATATCAATGGTGCTTTTGTTTAGGTTTCTTAGTCTTTAAGTTGATCTGTCATGCCAATTACCATGAATTATTAAACCTGACAAGATGGCTTGTTACTGTACAAAATCTGAGTTATTGCTTTTCCTGAAGTGAATACAACTCCAGAGCACCTGTGGGATCAGCTCAGACCTCGGCATTACTGTTGTTTTAATGCTGCGAATATAGTTTGTGATCGCCAGTGCGGTTCATTTGTACAATTTAAATGTTTAAAATCTTTAGCCTTGTCTGTGATTGCGTACACTCTCAGGGGACTTCGATACAGTGCAGAGCCCCTCCACACCCATCAAAGAGCTGGATGACCGAGCATGCCGGAGTGGGGGGTCCAAGTCCCGGGGCAGAGGTCGCAAGAACAACCCCTCCCCTCCCCCTGATAGTGACCTGGAGGTAAGGGACCAGAAAACACCCACTGACAGAGCTCTTACAGTACTGACTAAATATTCCATTCAAATCTCTATGGATATGTGGTATTCCCTTTGATCTTCATCCTCTCAAAATACAGCAGAGGAGAGGCTGATAGAGAGAAGGACCACCCATGTCACTGTCCAGTTGAGGAATTAATGCACATATGTCCAAAAAGATGGACATACCATTTATAAAAAAGCATCTCTTATTGTTTCACTTTCATGTTTTTTCAGAGGGTGTTTGTGTGGGATCTGGATGAGACAATCATTGTCTTCCATTCTCTGCTCACGGGCTCCTACGCACAGAAATATGGCAAGGTAAGATCATCATCCTGCCTCCGCTGGTTGTCTGTTATTTTTGTGTTTTAATTTCTATAGCCGTTCTGCACTATGTCTACGTCCACCCATCCACCCATTTTCTTTCTGTCTGCCAAAGCAGAATCCCAGATTACAGCTGGGACAGCAACATGTCTGATATTGATTAAATGAAGAGTGATGAATCCTCACACAAAAATTACCACAACAGGCCAAATGGTGGATTTATAACTGAAGCATCAACATCTCAATAAGCCTTATAAGTATTC